GCGGCGAGGGGCTACGTCAGCCCCGGGAAATCCCCCTCCCGCCAGGCTGCCCGCCTCTCGGCAGACCTCGGCTCTAAGCCCCGCTCGGCTCTCGCCCCGCTCCGCCCCCTGCCTCTGGCTGGCGAAGCCAGGACGGGCGACGCTGGGTGACCCGGAGCGCGAGAATTCAGGGGGTGGAAAGGTGTGAGCCGCAAACCCAGAGGAGGGCGGGAAGGAGGAGGAGGCGGCGCCGGAGGTGGTCAAGGGAACTGGGGGTCCCGCCGGCAGAGGTCCCTTGGCCTCTTGACTGACTGACGGGCTGTCTGTGGCGGCCTCCGGCTTGGACGCTTGGACTGCCGGCGGGGCGGCGCCATGAGCGGAGCCATGGCCTCCGGTGAGTGTTCCCGGCGCAGGTGCCGAGGGAGGGCCGAGGCGCGGGCCGGGCCCGGACGGGGGTTGGGGGGGAAGAGCTCATCTGGGGGTCTTGTTGCTATGAGTTTGGGGGCTCAGTTTTGGATGTGGCGCACTGTGTCTTAAAAATCGCCTCATCTGGCAAATTGTCAGCCTTTTAAAAAGTCAACCCGCTTCAGGGTTTGCGTGCGAAATCAAAGCCACTCTCTGTCACTTGATCTCATTATAATAGCCGGAACCTTAGAAATTCCCATCGTCTTGGTTTGAGGATTAGGGAAGTAATCTAAATAAAGGAGGACGAAGAGTTCTCGTATTTAAAAATTGATTTGTGTTGAAATGGTGGTTTTATGTTTTAGAACAAGAATGTGGAACCTTCAGACCTCGAGCGAGCTCTGCTCTTTTTTAGTTTAATTTCATCAAGTGCCAAGGGGTGATCGCCCTAGTGCTGACAGTTTTACAGAATGTGGCTCGTCTTTAAAAGTCTTCGTGGCGTTTTAACAGGTCTTAAGTGGAAATGTTGCTTCAACAAAGTGGATAATTGTTACTGTGCAATAAAGCGCGTACTCTCTAGTTTGCCGAGTGGTAGACGTCGAGTTTTCTTTTACTCTTTGTTGGAAATAAGGGGGAAAGAGGAATTGTAGAATACCCGCGCTTGAAAATAGTGGATAGGAAAACAACTTTATCGCTAATGTAAATATTTATTTTCCGTTAACACATGCTTGGATCTCTTGCTTTGCGGGGAGACAGGTTTATAAGAAACAGCTTCCAGGGTAAGAGAGGGAGTCTTGTACATACAGCCATGGTTTAGGGCTGCCTGGGGTAAATCGAGTGCACTAAGTTCAAGGTGGACCTTTACCAGGATTTTGGCCAGATGGAAGCGGGACGCTTTCCAGGCAGAGGGAGCAGCGTGAGCGAGGGCGGGGAGGAAAATCGAAAAGTACATGTTAAATGCTGTGATAGGAGGCTGTGAAGAAGGGGGCTTAGTGCTTGACCCGCATTCTCCCAACTCACTGGTTCAGTGACCTTCCGTCCAAGGCTGATGTCTAGTAGAGAAGAGGAAGTAGAACGCATAAAGAACCTCTTTAAAAGGCTGAGCGGAACAGTGCCATAGCTACTGCTGTCGGCTGAAAAGGAAATTGGGGTGTTTCACATGACATATGATTTTAGTTTGTCTGTGGTTTTCATGTGAGAATGCAAGTTTAGTCTAAAACATTTCAACTTTCCCTTTACCCTCTTAAGTGACCCCGAACTTTCAGATAATCTTGTAAATTCATAAATTCAAAGCACATTTGGATTAAAAGTGTAGAATTGACTTCAAATATTTGGTTAATTTATTGGTTTCGGAAAGAGATTTTGTATGAAAGTAGTAAAGAATGGTGAACATTGTAAGTAAAAATGGTCAGCCTCCTGGCAATTTAACCAAACTTTGTTAATATATTATCACATGAATTAATATATTATATTAATATTTTCAAGAGAGAAAACAACCATTTCTATATGGAATATTGTAAGACCCACATGATTTTAAAATGTGATAAATTTTAAACTTGTTTAATGACACTGTTTTGTGCTATTGTGAGAGCTGAGGATTCCCTAAATTGAAGGGGAAATATTTAAAGGAATGGAAATTTTTAAGTTTGGAAGTTGTAGGGCCATTATCTTTTTTTGGTGTTTGGTTTGGTTTTTTGTCTTTTCTCCAGGGTTGCATTAAAACGGGACTATTTAAAATGTAACAAGTTATTTAAATTGTAATCCAATTGTTTGAAACTGCTAGCTAAAAAAGATTTAGTAAATAAATGACGAATTCCTATTCTGTTTTGAAACAGTTTAACCAAAAAAGTAACAATTTGCTTTATTAGTTTATCATTATATAGTTTAGATGTTGTTTGTAGTAAGGTAGTATTAAAATCTCAAGAAGTATTTAACATCAGTTTCTATTTCTTAAAAAAAAAAGTATTTTTATTGATTACCAAGCGTTTATGACCATTTCTTCATTTCTCTCCGGATGTCATATGTAAATAGGTATGTGTAGTTGAATATGTGATGTCTATAATGTAAAAGTTACATAGATTATAATATCATAACCTAAATTATGTAAATGCCATGAGTAGCTTGGCACTATATATATATATATATATATTATTAAGTTTGGGTTCTGTTAAGCTGTTTTTCATTGCCTTTCTAAAAAAATTACACCTTGATTCCAGTCTTTTGACACGATTAATTAGAATTGGCATAGTGAAGAAAAATGTTCCAAAACCTGCCAAAGTAATCATTACTCTTGTTTGTTTGTGATTCTGTTCTGTTTAATGTAAGTAAAATTAGGTATTTTATGTCTGAATTTAAAGTTTCTCATTGTTCCAGTAAAAAGAGCAAAATGTCCTTGTGTAGCACATTGTTCTGTTTACTAATAATTATTTCTGTCTTTGGTAAAATATACTTTAAAATTTTAGATAATTTATTTTTATTTACTTTTTTTAGTATGGTTCTATGTCATATAATAGGAAGTACACGAAGAAATTGTTTTTGTAAACTGCACTACTTACCAACTCTTTGTAGTGTGAATTTCAGGTGAACTATTTTTTTTCTTCTCTTAAGTGGTAGAAATGAATGTGTAAGTATTATGCAACTTAATCTTTAATAATAGAGCTGGAAGTGAGGAATGGATAGCTAAGAGACTGCACACACAAACACAAATGTTGTGTCAGAAATACAACATGAAAAAATAGAGGTAACAGTGGTATAAAAGAATTAAGGTGATATATGATAGAGTAAAAGGAATGAGTGAATGAAATGACTAGGGAGGTGTCAGATAATGAATCATAATTAGAAACATCTGGTGTGCGTGTAGTATCTTTGTCAAATACAATTTAAGGGACTCAAAATTTCCTTTTTCCTTTTCTCATCTGAGTTCTCTGCAAATGATTGTTTTTGTAGACACATGACCCAAATATTGCATGGGATATACTTATCCTAAAAAAATTACTTGTTCATCTGAAATTTATATTTAACTGGGCCTCCTGTGTTTTTATTTTTAAATCTAGTAATGTTAATCAACAGAGACGATTTGGCCCTGCCATCTGTTTTTCATTTAAATACCTGTATAATCTAGGACAGATTTGAAATATTTCTCTACTTTTTAACTCTAGTGAATAAAACTTTTTTTCAAGACTTGATTTTTTCCCCCATGGCAGTTGAATCTCTATTGCCAAAATCTTTTACATCTTTTATTTACCTTGTAGTACATAATAGACCTGGTTTGAGGACAAAAAGAAACAATCTTATTTTCTTTTTCTCCAAAGTGAGTAAAGGTAATATTTGGAAAAGTGCTTTTAGCTTCATTTGCTCCTTTGAGTCTCAGGCAGTCTTGCTCAGGACCTCTATGAGGAAAATGCATTCTAGTTAGCTATTCCCGATGGTGGCGTTGACACATTGGTGTGGCAATCATTTGTGTGCTGTGATTGCAAGAAATATGGTGCTGACAATAGATAAAATATTTATTTTGCAACTATTTACTTTTTAAATAAACTAGAGCAAGTAAAGGTTGTGCCTATAATAATGTCTCTTTTTTCCTTTCTTGCATTTGAATAAGCTTTTTTCAAAAAAAAGGATAAGAAAAGGGAGTTACAAGTAGCCAGATTTGCTTTGCCTAGTTTATCCACGACACAGTCCATACTTGTACCTGAATTTTTGGATTGCTTCTCTAGAAATGTGCATCATTGTTTTAACTTCTTTATGTGTTAGGTCAGTGGTTCTCAGTCAGGAGTGTTAGAATTGCTTTGGAAGGCTTTAAGAAACACATGTGTCTGGGCTTTACCCTTGAAGATTTCTATTTCTCTTCAGATCTCTGGTGGAGTCAGGGCATATTTGTTTTGAAAAAACTACGTACCTAGGTGATTCTGATGTACGCCCCCAGTGTGAACTCTGTCCTAGGGATTTCATTAGGTCTAAGTACTTACTTGCCTATACCAAGATGCATTATCTTCTTAAACTAAGTTGCATTTATTTTAGATTGCAGATTATGTGCTGTGTCAGTTATTGTGACTTTACCTCCAGGTGCTTTTATGCCTGTTTTTTTTTTTTTTTTTTAATTTGGCTCCCTGGGATCCCAGCCATCATATTAGCTAGTGTCATTCATAATTTCTTTTTCTTATAACTTCATATAATTTTGAACTTTAGTTTTATCATCTGTAAAATGGGATACTAAGTCCTCTTGTTTTTTATGAAAGTTAAAGTTAAGAGGATCAAATGAGACATATATATATAAAAAGCTTTAAAACTGTTATAATTATTATAATTAACCTTTTTCCACTATATACTTAATGTTGGTTCCTGATTATAGCAATATGATTTTCGTTAATCATGTGTCTTTCTGACAATTGATAATCCATCTTTAACTTTTATTTCAATGTAATTTTTAAAAATTTTTGTTCTTGGGCCGGCCTGGTGGCGCACTGCTACAGTGCGCCGCTTGGGAGCACGGTGGCGCTCCCGCCGAGGGTTCGGATCCCACATACAGACCAGTTCCTGCTCACTGGCTGAGCGAGGTGTGGGAGCAACGCCGAGGGTTGCGATCCCGTTGCGGGTTGCGATCCCGTTGCCGGTCCCGGTCCGGTACGGGCGCGACACTGAGGGTTGCGATCCTTTGCCGGACATGAAAAAAGACAAAAAGGAAAAAAAAATTTTTTTGTTCTTATTTTTTAATTTCTTTTTTTAATCTTAAGAACTCATACTTTATTAGATAGGCACTGTTTAAAAATAGCATTCTTTTTTGCCTAAGTGCAAATAAAAACATAAATATATGTTGCAGACATTTTGGCTATATTTCAAATGTTATTCTGGTCTGTACTAGCATTTTACAATACTGTTCAAAATATAGGGGTCAATCCCAGCATTGTGTAGTATTGGTTAAAGAAAAATACAGTAGTCAACTTGTTTAAAATCAATTTTGAAGCATTTCAGTGTTTTTCAAAACTATGATTTGCTGTAATCTTAGTTAAGAGTACTTATTTCCCTGCAATTCCCTGATTTATATTTTACCTTCTTCCACTCCATAGATGACTACATTTCAGTACTTTTTATCTTCAGGAAGAATAGCACTGCAAAACAGTACAGAGGAAGGAAATAACTGGTGCATTGTACTGATGCATGACATAAATGATTTATAGCTGGGAAGTTTTTTAAAATTATAAATACAGATAAAGAAATCAGAATATGAATGGGTATGATGGTGTAGGAATTCTAGTACCTACAAAGCACTATTTTTTTCATAGTAGAATCTAATAAGGAAAATCTGATTAATCATTAATGTAGTCTTTTAATGTTTGAATAACTTGCACAAACAAAAGATTTTTAGATTTTTACCATTCATTCAATAAATATTTACTGAATATCTGTGTACAAGGCACTAATTGATAAATAAGACACAATTTCTGCCTTCAAGTAGCTTGAAGAAATAAAAACAAGTAGCTTTTTTTCAAAAAGAAATAAAACACTGAGTCTTTCCTAAACTATAGTTATTTGGATAATTGCTATGCTGTGAACAAAATACTATGGTAGTTTACAGGAAGGGGAGATTATTTCCAAGTGGGGGAATGTAGAATATTACAATAAACTTACTTGGTTGTTATTGAGACTTTTTAGCCAATTAAGAGCTTCTATGATAAATAAATTTCAAAGATTTTTAAGTACTTGATATTACATAATAACTAATATTTATGTCATTTTTACCATTAAAAATCTTTTAAAAATATTTCATTTAATCTTTTCAACAACTGCTTTTCTGTTCTTTTGTCGATAGCCATTTTTATAGACACACTGTCTGGTTTAAAGAAGTGTCAGGTAACCAGTGAAATATTTGAATGCTAACTATGAGCCTAAAATGTTTATTCACACAACCCCCCCCCCACCAAAAGTTGAATATTTACCATTAATGATGTCATTCTATATCAATTTCCCACCAAGACACCTTTAAATAAGTTGTGGGAGGGATTTATTTGACCTTTATTTCAACCACATGGTTATTTAAGATGTCATTTAAAACATACTGTTAATTTTAACAGCTATTGAGAAGAGAGTTTACTCTCTTAAATATTCCTACAAGAATATATAAGGATGTGAAATATTTAAAATTGAAATGTGAATTTGAAACATTTGAAATACACAAGTATATACAAATTGTGAAATACGTCTGCATGCCTTAAGTTTTTCAGTAAAATTGAAATAAGTTTTATGAACTTGATTGGGTTAAGGTCAGTTTTCCCTGGCTCTTTGTCTTTTGAATAAACAAATAGTAGATTCAAACACATGGCCTCTGAACCAAACAGAATAAAAAGAAAGGTAATAGTAATACTGTATCTAGTAACCCAGAGTAGAAACCATGAAGCCATCAATGATTTTTAAATCTTTCTTAAATTAACCCCAATGCTCAGGCACTACGTACTGTCAATTTTATCTTTTAAATTATCCTTCATTCCTATTATCCCTGTCATATTTCAGACATACCCTCACCATTGCCCATGTTATTACAGTGGTTTCTAAACTTGCTTTCAAGTTCACCTTGCTTTCTCTTTTCTCTTCACCGCCGCCAGAATTCTTATTCTAAAGATGCCAACCTGCTCATATGATTTTCCTGCATTAAAAACATTCTTGATTCCCTGTCACACTTAAAATGAAATCCACATTAACAAGTGTGCTCTGACTTTTGATTTTCTTTCTAAGAGTGGAAGTGCACTCCTCTTCCACTGGTGATTCTCAAATATTTCCTAGAATGCCAACCTTCCTCTTTTCTCTTCCCACTCTTCTGCTTCATTAACTTTTTTTCCTCTGACATAGACATTCCTGACTCTTGCTCTTTTTTTCATTTTCTGCAGAATTTTGTTAGCCCTTTTCTCCCTTCCGTAGTCTAGTAATTTGTGTTTTTTAGAGTGGCAGTTGTGATAATGTCATGGTATCACTAAATCATTGTTTTCAAGAAAGCATCTGAAATAATAATAGATATCATCTATTGACTGTTGTGTTTGTGACACTTGGTAAGAATTTAACACATGTAATCTCTAATCCTCAATACTGTGAGGTAGGTGCTATTATTATTATACCTATTTTATAAGGGAAGAGACTGAAATTTTAATAACATTTGTAGGGTCTTACTATTAAGAAATGGATGGGTGGGATTCAAAAGGCCTTTTCTCCATACTGCACTGATAAAGCTCACTGTGTTACCCTTTCTGAAGATTGCTTGCATTCTAGCAAGATAAGCCTTATCAGTGAGTTGGATATGTCACTGCAGGAATTTAGAAGTCACCCAACTGATTGAAGGAGACGGGTTTTTTTGATTGGAAGACATCTTCACACCTCTGAAAAAAAAAGTCACATTTTTAACTACCCTACTTGTCTTTTTTGAGCTTTTCCCCCATGATGTGTATAATAAGAGAGGGTAAAGGTGCACATGTTTTAAACAGCTTTTTGACGTATAATTAATGTACGACAACTTGCACATGTTTAAAGTATGTGGTTTGATAAGTTTTGACAAATGTATACAACCTCGAAATCATCACAACAATCAAGATAACATATCCATCATCTCCCAAACTTTCCTGTCCACGCCATACCCTGCTTTTAGGCAACTAGTAATCTGCTTTTTTTCATTATAGATTAGTTTATATATTCTAGAGTTTCATATAAATGGAATCATATAGTATATGCTCTTTTGGTCTGGCTTCTTTCACTCAGCATAATTATTTTGAGGATCATCAGTGTTGTTATGTATATCAATAGTTGATTCTGAGAGTGCATGTTTTGAATTATATTTGTTATAGAAAGTAAATAATTTTTTTTCCTACATTGCGTCTTATACCTTTAGAAAAGGTTTTGATGGGACTGAATGAAAATTCTGTTGAGCCTCAAGTCCCTTCTGGGACTTTTGAAATACTGTGTATAAGTCCTTTAATATTCCAATTGAGATACTAAAAACTTACATATGCCTCTGCAAGGATCTAAATGCATTTTCATTTTCAATGAGTGGTCTTTTCATTTACTATTAATCAAGTTTTCATTTACTACAAATCAAGCAGTTAAATACATTTTACTCACTTTTGAGGTATTTTAATATTATACTTCTGAATACCATTTTCATTGTTCTGGGGGTTTCTTGGGGGAAACCCTTCTGCTTGGTGTCATGTGGAATGCTGATATCTCTGAAGTGGTTATCAGAACTACATACTGACATTAGTTATAGATATTAAGCAATCAAGTGCTAACCATTCATTACAATTTGAATGACTTGTGTTAAACACTATATAGGAGTTCAATTTGAACAGGAAGAAAAGATGTCTGTTCCATGCAATCTTGGATAATTACATTTCAACTTTGTTATTTACCATTGGGAGGGAAAATCTTTATTTTAGCCTGCTGTTTTGAAAAAAACAGTATCATTAAAATCCATTATTATTGCTCTCCTAATCTTATTGCCCCTCCCCCCTTTTAATTTTCAGGTGGGTATAGCCCATATATAGAGATAATTGAACAACCCAGGCAGAGGGGAATGCGTTTTAGATACAAATGTGAAGGGCGATCAGCAGGCAGCATTCCAGGGGAGCACAGCACAGACAACAACCGAACGTACCCGTCTATCCAGGTAATAGACCCTTCTCCTATGTCTATTTTACTCCTAGTTGCTTCATATTTTAGCTTTAACAATTATATATATTAAAGGTCCAGTTTCTTCACAGTCATCTCCATGTCTTTTTTCTTTTTTCTCTTCAGTTGATCTATATTAGATAGATGTCTAGGGGCATTTCTTAAATGTAATAGGGTCTTCCCCTCTGCAGATAGTTATATGTTGTTTGTGTTTTAATCTAAGTAGAGTGATTCACAGTGTTCAGTGTACATGGCAGTTTTTGATCATGTTCCCTTTCATGGAATACAAAACTAATGAGGAAAAAGCATTCTCTCCTGACAGAGGTGAGCAAAATTATTCTGTAGATTAAATGTGGATTTGAGAACTCAATCAATACTTCTTCCTGCAATCACTTGGCTAGTCTAGGGCTATAGAAAAGAAGAATATTTTTTCTCTGTTTTTTCCTTACTTTTATTGCCTGTCTCTGATATTCTGAATCATTGACAGATTTGAAATATTATCACTTTTTATGTATAGTTTTTCATATCAGCATAAATTTTGAAGGTAGTTTTTAATCAAAACTGACTTTAGTAAATATGCTATATTTAAATTTTGTATTTTATATTTATAAACTATATTTCATTTAACTTTCAGTGAATTTTTTATCCTTTAAATGCCATTGGAAACCTTAATGGCAAAGTAGATTTTGAAAAGTCTTACATATACTTTTATCAACAGATCTTAATTCACTGTTTTATAACTAAATTATTTACAAAGTTTATTTATTGAACTTAAAGGGGATTGCTAAATTATAGAATAAGCTAACAGCAAAATTATATGTTGAATTCCAAATTCCTATTTTAATTACTTTTTTGGCAGTAATATGGATTTGGGTTATCTAAGTCCTTTTATTTAAATGTTAAAATGGGTGAGATACTAATAAAAAGTACATAAAGAAATACTGTTCTTTCAATCGTTCAAGTCATTTTTAACTCTTCTCCATAATTCAGCTTATTCTGTACATCTCTAAAATATTTCTAAGATCTGTATCCTTACCATTCCAGTGGGGCCTAAACACTTTACAGCTTATATAAGATGAGCTGTACATCAGCCTATCTTATACCCTTGAGTGGACCTTCTCTTTTATCCAGAAAGGCAGTAAATACTTCTGTTACTGTTCAAATTATGTTTAAATTAAAAATTATGGATTTTAGTGCTCCTTACTTGGGAAGCTACCCATTCTTACTTATTTGCCTTCTTCCCTTATAGTGTGCTGGTTTTTACATTCCCTGCTTTGTTCTTGCAAATTTGCTAGCTTCCAAACTAAACATTAGTTCCTCCCCATATCAGAGTGTCCTTTCCCATGCTAAACACTCGTCTTTACTGTCAGTGTTCTATATATATTTTCTGCGTGAAACTTCATCTTGCTAAACTCAGCTTGATTTATTGCCTAGTGTACAGTGAACACTTGGGATATACTTACTGATTTACAAATGTTTTTGAAAAATGCAAAGTCACATGTTAAGTAAAATGATCATTTAGTAAAATTATCATATTTGCTTCCTATCGTTTCCAGTGTAGCTTAAATATCCTCATATACTTTCAGGGATGGTTATAGCGCATCTAAGAGCAGAACATTCACTGACAATATCTAAGTATTTCCTCATACTCTATGATAAAATTTCAGTGTAATTTAACTTTTTTTAAAAGGAAAATAAGCAGATTTAGATGCTATGACTAATTGAAATTAGGGCAGAAAATAATATGTTAAGGAACTGGGAGGTAAATTCTTCCCTACTGGTATTCTATGGAAAGTTTCATCTAAACTACAATTGCCAGTCAGTTGGACTTTGTTTATTCAGTGCTAACTACATTATATAAATTGAACTCTCATTTAACAGACCAGTTCTTAATGAGGTATATTTATGAATTCATATATTTAATTTCCCCCTTTTTTCAGATTATGAACTATTATGGAAAAGGAAAAGTGAGAATTACATTAGTAACAAAGAATGACCCATATAAACCTCATCCTCATGATTTAGTTGGAAAAGACTGTAGAGATGGCTACTATGAAGCAGAATTTGGACAAGAACGCAGACCTTTGTTGTAAGTACACAGTCACAGACATCTTCAGGAATAGGATAAGCACAAGAAGCTCTGTTTCCTATTTATGACCATCTGTTACTTTTTAGCAGAATAAATTAATTTCTCATTCTACTACTATTAACTGTAGTGTACACTTAAATTTTCTCATCATTTGCATTAGAACTACCCTTTCATTCTTCATTGGTAGACATAGCTCATGATGGTTAACAAAATACTTCACCGTTACTTATTTTATGTTGTGATTTATTTTCTTATTTGATCAATTTATGAAATAAAATTTTACTCTTTTCATTTATACTTAAATATTGCTAGATGTGAAAAATTAACTAGAAAACTCTAGAATTATTATTTAGAAAGGGGCAAGTTATAAAATTAACATACAACAATAATTCTAAGATAAAAAATATTATGTAACACTTCATGTTGGTGAGGCTACCAGAAGATGGACATATTCATCATGTTAGTGAGAATGTAAATTAATAAAATCTTTCTGGTAGGCAATTTAACAACTACATAACAGAAGCCTAAAAAATGTGAGTGCCTCTTGAGCCATCAATTGCACTTTTAGGAATTTATCATCAGGAAATAATTAAGCATGTTCAGACATTTGGTATAGTGCTGTTCATTGCAGCTCTATAATGGGAAAAAGTTAGAAGCAATCCAAATAATAAACAAGGGGAATTAGTTAAATAAACTGGCACATCCATGCAGTGTACTCATATATAGTCTTAAAAATAATGTTACAAATATGTCTGTTGGTATATAAAAATATTCACCATATGTTAGATAAATAAAACAGGTTTTAAAACAGAATATGTGAAGAATAATCTTTTGTTTAAAATAAGGTTATACGTGATAGTACATATGCTAGGGTATTAATAGTAGTTGTCTATGGGTGGTTAGGATTATGGGGTTTTATGTTTTTCTTTTAACATATTTATTTTATAATTCATTTTTGTAATGAACATATATTGCTTTGGGGGGGGGAATGAAACTAATTATAATAGAAAAAAGGTTAGTAGCCTCCTTACATATAAGTAAAAACCATTTAGAAAAGATGTTCCTCTTGTAATAACAACACAAAACATAAAATATCTAGGAATACACACTTGGCAAGAAATATTTCCTGTCTGTATCACTTGACTTCTCAACAGCATTTTACACCGTTGACCACTCCTTCCTTGAAACAGTCTCATTCCTTGATTTCTGTGAGAACAAACTTCTGTTTTACTTCCTACTTCTCTGGCTGTTCTTTTTTCTTAAGTTACAGGCAGTTAAATTTTTGGACTACCTCAATTATTTTCCCAATAATGCCCTTTATGGCTGTCCCATCTCTCCCTGCAATCTAGCATCCCATTAAGAATCACGCATTATATTTAGCATTATATTTAATATGAATAACATGAATAATATTTTCATGTTAACGTGAAACATTATGGGCAAGAAGTCTACAGAGGTGATGCTATATCATTCTCAAAATATCCCTTCAGGAAACATGTGTACCAGTTTTTTCTATTCTTGGTGATATTAATTGGCATTCTATTATAAAGAAGAACTTTCCCTTCTTCTCCTTCCCCATTTAAAAAGTATCATTGTAGATTCATGGACTCTTATATTCATATGCTTGTATTACAGTTCATTACTGGTATTATCAAGTTGACACAAATTCCACCAATACCAACCCCTTTAAACTGTCTCCTGTGTCCTTTTGATATGTCCCCATATTTATTTGAGCCTTTCTTTACTTTCTGACACAACAGAGTGTTCAAGATTGTACTTTTCTTGCCCCAGCCCTGAAGTCATCAGTTTTTTCCAAGGATCTCTAGTTCCTTTTGGTAGAGAATGGTATTTAGTCTGATTGAATTGTTGACATGTTTTCTGAAATGTGTCAAAAGCACCTCAAATAGAATGTGCCCTAAGCCATGATCTTACCATGATTATACTTCTTTCCTCTCAAAATTGGTCTTTTTCCAGCATACCTTGTCTTAGTGAATTCTGTAAAAGCTCTAAACACAAGTGTTGTCCCTGACACCCCTCTCACAGGCATGCATATTGATCCCACAAACAGGTACCTTTTAAAAAGCTCTTGGATCTATCCATTTCACTCAGTGAAATCCATTACTACCACACTCTCACTGTAGTCTAAATTTGGGCTGCTGGAATAGCGTCCTGGCTGGTCTTTTTGTATCAACTCTTTTTGTACCTCTTCCCCTCAATCTCCTTCTAGCTAGAATGAGCTTTTACAATACAAATTGAATTGTCACCTCCCAGCTTAAAACATTTTAATGGGATTATGTGGCTCTTGGGATAAGGACAGCATTCCTTCTGTAGCTTACAAATACAGCCCACCTGTATTTCTAGCCTTCTTTTGTACTGCACTTCCTTTGATTTCTACACTACAGTCACAAAAGCCTTCCTTTGGTTTTTCTCACAGTGGTGTTCTGTAGGGGCCTTTGTGTGATCTATTACTCTTGTCCAGAAGTCTCTTTCCTCTCCTCTTCCTAGCTCATTTCTTTTATATTAAGTACCATTTCCTACAGGAAGTCTGACTGCCCTCCCTGAAATGATCAACTCTCTCCCATCATAGGCTGCTATAACATAGTGTATATCTCCTTCATAAGATTGTCATGATTTCAGTTTAAGCATTTTTGTGTGTGTGATTATTTAATACATCCCTCCTTCACTAGACTGGAAATTAGCAAACTTTTTCTGTAAAGGGCTAGATAGTAAATATTTTAGGCTTTATAGGCCATATGATCTCTGCTGTTAGAACTACTGCTTAACTCTGCTGTTATAGCATGAAAGCAGCCACAGACAATATGTAAACAAATCAGTTTGGCTGTGTTCCAATAAAGCTTTATTTACAAAAACAGGAAGTGTTCCAGATTTGGTCCATAGGCTAAGTTTGCCAATCCTTGTACAAGACCCTGTAAGCTCCATGAGGGGAGGGATTGTATATCCCCATTACTTCCCAGCGTTTTTGGTACATAGTAGGAACTCCAGAACTTGTTGAATGACTGTTAACGAATGAATAAATAATTGACTCATATAATTACTGTGATCCTTGGTTTCCTCATGTCAGAATTTCAAAATTCTCTACCACTTGTAATATTCTGTGAATAGCAGTCAAATATGATTATCCAAATGAAATAATATGAAGTAGTGTATAAATATATTAAAGTGAAGAATTCTTTAAAATCTTGTCAAAAAGCAAGAACCAAACAGAGTTCTTCAAAGAAGTGGAATACTTTTGAGGAAGAGGATTATAATTACAGGATTTCAAGAAAGGATTTTAAGAATACAAGATTTGTGTTTTAGTTATTGCAGACAGAGGAAGGAAATGTCAAAGATGTTGTAGTTGCTAACAGAATCATAAGCGTAGTGAGTGTGAAAAGCATGAACATAAGACGGCATGAACATGGAGAGAGGCAAACAAGGCAGCCTCTGGTCACAAGTGCCATGTGAAGTTTGAACAAACAGTAATATTATTATCATTGAGTTTTGCTTCCTTATTCACACCCACCCAACTTTAATGATGTCATGGTTTTTCCATGTGGGAACAAGTATGACTGGTGGTGGTGGGGGAGTTTCCCCCACCATCATCTGTACCACACATATGCAAATTAGCAATATTTGTAGCTATTGAGAAGTTTTCCATAAATGACATTTTGAAACTTTTGTTAAATATTGTTAGTATTAAACCTCTTTCTAATAAAAATACATTTCAGTACTTTCTTAGTGATGAATGATTATTATGACTTTATATCATATGGCATAAAATATATTCTACTGCTACTACCAGTAAAGGCAGGGCTCAAAAATCAAATCTCTGTGGGGCTAAGGCAGGCAGCACAAATGAGAGGGGTGAATCAAGCATAGCACTAGCAGGCATTGTAGCAAACCAGAGAGCCCTGCATAAGGGGGCTGCAGGTGCTCAGTCCCAGCCAGTTGTTTCTCTGCCAGCCTAGTGTTACCAGACCTTTAATATGTTCAAGAGAAGCCAGAAATCCAGATATTCATGTGCAATTACCTGATTTTTAAATGTCGATAACCTGTACAGATTTTTAAAAACTATAGGCAACACTATGGGCTCAGCAAAGTAGAATTTTCTTTTTTTGTTGTTGTTGTTTTTTTCCTTTTTGTCTTTTTTCGTGTCCGGCAACGGATCGCAACCCTCAGTGTCGCGCCCGTACCAGACCAGGACCAGCAACGGGATCGCAACCCTCGGTGCTGCGCCCACACCTCACTCAGCCAGTGAGCGGGAACTGGTCTGTATGTGGGATCCGAACCCTCGGCGGGAGCGCCGCCGCACTCCCAAGCGGCGCAGTGTAGCAGTGCGCCACCGGGCCGGCCCAAAGTAGAATTTTCAAAATTTGTGGGCTTCAGCCTGTGGGCATCTTTTTACACCTTTTGCTTTGCATTTTCAAATGTTATTTATTTGATTATGAATTTGTTTGTTAGGTGAATTTTAACTTTTTGGTGTTGCTTTCCTGTTAGTCTCTATCTTCTTTGGTATATATGACATAGGCATGTTAGTAAGATGGAATTGCAAAATACTGTATGAAAAAATGATGTAGTATATACTCTTTTTCCTTTAACAGTTCTCTTAGAAATAAAACTCCACTGTTCCACCCTCACATCTTTTTTTTTTTTTTTTTCCTTTTTGTCTTTTTTCGTGTCCGGCAACGGATCGCAACCCTCAGTGTCGTGCCCGTACCAGACCGGGGACCGGCAACGGGATCGCAAACCTCGGTGCCGCGCCCGCACCTCGCTCAGCCAGCGAGCGGGAACCGGTCTGTATGTGGGATCCGAACCCTCGGCGGGAGCGCTGCCGCACTCCCAAGCGGCGCACTGTAGCAGTGCGCCACCGGGCCGGCCCCACCCTCACATCTTTATCATAGCAACTTCATGTGCATTTTATGCTTATGTTTGATTTCTGCAGTATTCCTTGTGTTTAACTGTAATGCAGTTTTGAAAGCTCTCTGTTTTTCCTCCTAGTTTTCAAAATTTGGGTATTCGATGTGTAAAGAAAAAAGAAGTAAAAGAAGCTATTATTTCAAGAATAAGAGCAGGAATCAATCCTTTCAGTGGTATGTTTGATATAATCATTTCTGTTATTTTGGATGTTGACTTTCTGGTTTCCATTTATATCTTGAATCTGTGTTTTAAAAATTATTTTAAGTTCTATGTTCACTTTGCTATTTGCTGACTTACACCTGTATGTGAGGAATGAAGTATATTTTAAATCTTCACAGTTGTTGGGGAAAAAAATCTTATATAGACAAGGCTTTTTGGTAACAGTGGAGAGTGTCATTGTTTTCTATAGGAAAACATCAAAATGTTCTGTTTCTCTTTGAATGAAGCCTTCCTTATGCCACTTCCAAAAGACAATATACATTCCTCCTTCTGAATGTTAAATAGGCACTGTGGTTACAAGGTATTTGGGGTAACATTTATTAAGCATTTGTACTTATGGCACTATCTGGTGTGGCACCTGGTACTTGTAAGCACTCTATGCTGTTTGAATAGACAAATGACTATCAAGCTAGATGCTGACATCCTATACTTATAGTCATCTCCATTCTAAAGCCTCTGCAGCTACTTAAATGTGCTTAAGTCAGGAATCGAATGACTATAAGATCTTCAAAAAAACAGATTTCTTTGTCATATTTAAGACATCCTTATGTTGTTGGTTTGTATTTTTCCTGATTGTATAAAAATAATTTAAGGGATATAATGATAATTTAAAGAATATGCTCACAGACAAGTACTGTTTTTATGAACTATAAGATCTGCACCTCTTTTCTCTAGGTATTTATTTTTCATACTATTTAGTGTAAAGTGGAAAGCAAAAGTCCCCTTCTTCCCCTTCGGTCTTATTCACCAGAGGAGACTGCTATTAGGTTTGATTTTCATTTTTCTAGAATTTCCTTTATACATGTATAGTCATATATAAACGTACTTTTTTTTTTTTTTTTGTCCTTTTTGTCTTTTTTCGTGACCGGCAATGGATCACAACCCTCAGTGTCGCGCCCGTACCGGACCGGGACCGGCAACGGGATCGCAACCCTCGGTGTTGCGACCGCACCTCGCTCAGCCAGTGAGCTGCCGGTCTGTATGTGGGATCCGAACCCTCGGCAGGAGTGCCACCGCGCTCCCAACCGGCGCACTGTAGCAGTGCGCCACTGGGCCGGCCCTAAACATACTTTTTATATAAAGGGAATCATGCTATACTTTCTATTTTACTGCTTCATATTTCCCACTCAGGAATATATCTTCAACATCTTTCCATGTCAGTACTTACATATCTATTTTATTTTATTTATTTATCTCTTTATTTTGGTGACTGGCTAGTATGGAGATGCAAACAAACCCTTGACCCTGCTGTTATAACACCACACTCTAAACAACTGAGCTAACCAGCCTATTTTATCTTTTTAACAGAATATTCTATTATTTGGGTAGACCATAATTTATCTAGTTATCTATTAATGAACATACAGGTTGTTTTCATCATTGAATATAGACTTGGAACTCTTGTGTGATTATTTACTCATGGTACGTTTTTAGAAGTGGAAAATTTCTAGGTCAATCAAGAGTATATTCACTTAAAATTTTGATTCATTGCTAAATTAAAAGGCCAGACTTAGATTAAAGAGGCCATCTAAGTCTAGATGCAATATAAAACAAGGAGATTATAAATAATAGCTATCATTTATTAAGCACTTCTTGTATGTCAGGAAGTAAATGTTAAGTGCTTGACATACACTATTTTAAGCATTGAAACGACACTGCTTTACAGAAGAGAAAACTGAAGCTTTGCTTACATAACTGTCCCAAGTTATGCAGCAAATATAAGTGGCAGAGCTGGAATTCAAACCCTGGTTCCCTGACTCCAGTGATAAAGGCATTAAAAAGGAAGATGCCATCTGTAGAAGTTTTGTTTGTTTGTTTGTTTTTTCCCCCTTTGGCAGTGCAGAACCAGGCAGATTGTTAATAATAAGTAAATAATAAGTACTCATGTAATATTTAAAATAGTTCCTGGTAGATAGCAAGTGCTTTACATATTTTTACTTCATTTAATCTTTATAACACCTAAGAGATATAGGTACTATTATGATCTTTATTTTATAAGTAATAAAATAGAGATGTGGAAAACTTAAGTAATTTGTTCAAGTCATATTGTTGGTGAGTGGTGGAGCTTGGATTTGAATATAAGTAGTCTGGCTGCAACGTTCATGGTCTTAACAGCTCTATTATGCTGCTTAGATGCATATAGATTTGGGGAAGGAACAATCCTGCCAGTTGATCATTCAGAGTATTTATATTTTCTGTCGTTTAGGTTTTTTTAACATCCATTCCTGCTCCTATCTTTGTTGTCATTTCCCTAGTTTAGGAACTCATCATATAAGTTGAGTTGTAGTAGTTTTTCCCCATTAGAATAAACTGCTTAGAACAGTTCTTTAGCAGAATACAGTAGTCTCTCCTTATCTGAGGTTTTGCTTTCCAGGGCTTCAGTTACCAGTGGTCAACTGTGGTCCAAAAACATTGAATGGAAAATTCCAGAAATAAACAATTCATAAGTTTTAAATTATGCACCATTCTGAGTGGCATAATGAAATCTTGAGCGTCGCTCTTTGTCCCACCCAGAACATGAAGCATCCCTTTGTCCAGCATATCCATGTCGAATACGCTACCCACCCATTAGTCAATTAGTAGCCATCTAAGTTATCAGATTGGCTGTTGTAGTATGGCAGTGTTCGTGTTCAAGTAATCCCTATTTTACTTAATTGTTCTATTTTAGTATTAGTTATTGTTATTCATCTCTTACTGTGCCTAATTTATAAGTTAAATTTTATGTATGTATATATGTGTAGCAAAAAACATAGTGTATATATATGGTTTGGTACTATCTGTGGTTTCAGGCATCCACTGGGGGTCTTGGAACATATCCCCTAAGGATAAGGGAACTTGCAGTGGCTTCTTACATAGTTTTAAAACTAAATGGCCCTTTATTCAAAGTCATCCACAGATAGCTCCAATATGTCTTTTCTATCTTCTCTTCTACTGCTCCTCTTTATGAACTATTCCAGAAAGACTGTTTTGTTCACCTGCCCTGACCATCTCAGTTCAATCCTCTCTTCATTCTTCTCACCCCCATTGTAGGGATGTAAGTTTACATCATTTTTAACATGGACCATTGTTTTTTGGTTTTTTTTTTGTCTTTTTGTCTTTTTGTCTTTTTCCGTGTCCGGCAACGGATCACAACCCTCAGTGTTGCCCCCGTACCGGACCGGGGACCGGCAACGGGATCGCAACCCTCAGTGTTGCTCCCGTGCCTTGCTCAGCCAGTGAGCGGGAACCGGTCTGTATGTGGGATCCGAACCCTCGGGCGGGAGCACCACCGCGCTCCCAAGCGTCACACTCTACCGAGTGCACCGC